GTTACTCCAGAGGCACCTGCACACCCATGTTTATTGCGGCACTATTCACAATAGCCAAGTTATGGAAACAGCCAAGATGCCCCACCACTGACGAATGGATTAAGAAAATGTGGTATCTATACACAATGGAATTTTATGCAGCCATGAAGAAGAACGAAATGTTATCATTCACTGGTAAATGGATGGAATTGGAGAACATCATTCTGAGTGAGGTTAGCCTGGCCCAAAAGACCAAAAATCGTATGTTCTCCCTCATATGTGGACATTAGATCAAGGGCAAACACAACAAGGGGATTGGACTTTGAGCACATGATAAAAGCGAGAGCACACAAGGGAGGGGTGAGGATAGGTAAGACACCTAAAAAACTAGCTAGCATTTGTTGCCCTTAACACAGAGAAACTAAAGCAGATACCTTAAAGCAACTGAGGCCAATAGGAGAAGGGGACCAGGAACTAGAGAAAAGGTGAGATCAAAAAGAATTAACCTAGAAGGTAACACCCACGCACAGGAAATCAATGTGAGTCAATGCCCTGTATAGCTATCCTTATCTCAACCAACAAAAACCCTTGTTCCTTCCTATTATGGCTTATACTCTCTCTACAACAAAATTAGAAATAAGGGCAAAATAGTTTCTGCTGGGTATTGAGGGGGTGGGGGGGAGAGGGAGGGGGCAGGGTGGGTGGTAAGGGAGGGGGTGGGGGCAGGGGGGAGAAATGACCCAAGCCTTGTATGCACATATGAATAAAATAAAAATTAAAAAAGAAGAAGTAGACTTGAGAAAGGGAGGCTGAAGACACAGTGGATGCAAAGGCCCTGTGGCAGCAGGGAAATGGCCAACAAGAGAGGCTTGAACAATGGCAGTGTGGAGGAGCAGAGTTCGGAGGGGGAGTGAGGTAGGCAAGTGTCACTCAAGAGTAAGTAGAGGCCAGAGCATGTGGGGCCCTGGATGCCACTCTGAGTCACTAAGGAATCTTTCAAAGTAATAGGCTGGAGAAACACCAGCCCATGGTTGATTTCTTTAAGTGGGTTTGCAAATGTCATGAGTTAGCAAATCATGAACAGCTAAAGCAGACCCATGTGTTAGGGTTTAATTAGAAATTGTGAGTATGGCTGCTGGGCCACCCACACTTGTTCCCAGCAGCGTGAAAATAGCAGACACCAGTGTGGCCCCGGCCACTGCTGCCCTGGGTCTACGGAGGACAGAGCAGATGCCACCCTGGCCATGGCACCGGACAGGAGGAGCGTTGTTCTGGCCTGTGATCCGGTGCCTTCTCGTCTCCTGAAGGCTGAGGCAGTGCAACTGTGAATAAATTCTGTCCAAGCCATCGTCACAGTCTACATTCTTCTCAGGTGGCAACGCTGGGTGTTACATTGTTATTTCATGTCAGATGTGGACAGTCACAAGAACAAAAGCCCTCTGCCCTTTGGTTTGTTCCCCTCCTGCGGTGCCCTCGGAGGTGGCGGCTGACAATCCCGGCTTTACTGTGGCGGCCTGTGGGGATTGGAACTCAGAATCAAAGGCAAGACCTTAGGACTCATGTTGCAGGGAGCCGAGTGGAAAGCTGCCCTGTGATCACCCAGAGTGTGTGTGGGGGGCTCAACCCACAGAGCTCATCCCACAGCGGGGATGGCGGAGGCCCCAGAGGAGCCCAAGAAAGGAGCCAGCCCCAAGACCCTCAGGAAAAAGGTGGGTTGAAACAGGCTGACCGTGGGGAGCAGTGTGGCAGGAGTGATCTGTCTTGTGGTGTCACACCTGCTGTTTCTGTCCTAGTGCACTGCCCCGCTGTGTCACCTCAGGGCCTTGTGCTCCCTGGGCTCCTGCCCAGACATGGGATTTCCTGGAAGGGAGAGGCATCTCGGCAAGTGAGGAGTCCCAGCAGGTTTCTCACCGGTTCCCCACAAAGCCCACAGCCTGCCGTTTGTGCATCCTTTTCACTGGGAGCCACCTGTGCAGTGACAGCCCGTTCTCCATCTCCAGGCACCCAACGGCCGATTCAAAATGTTCTCAAACGCGCTCTTAACGTGCCCACTGATGATGTGCGCTGTCCTCAGTGTCATGCTAACGATGACATTTAAAGAGCAGTCAGAAGTTGGGCAAGATGCCCAAAAGGAAAAACTAAGTAACAGTGGGATTCATGGTGGGTAGCAAAAAACCCAACGTTTTACTGACGTAAACACAGGTACGGAAAAGCACCCGAGTGGAAAGTGAACTGCAAGAGGGCGAATTCGATCAAAGTTCGTTGTATATGTCCTAAGTATTACAATGAAACCTCTCTGCGCAATTAGCTTATGCTAATGAAAATTAAGTGAAAGGATATAAAATTGATTTTTGTGTGTTGATTTTGTATCTAAAGAAAGTGTACAGCTGGGGGGACAGTAACTGAACACACCCACGTTACTTGGCAACCAGATTAAAAAACAGAACATTCTGGAAGCTCCCCTTCTGCAGTGCCCTGGGGTGTGGCCACTGCCCCTATGTAAAACAGCTTTATATGGCACAAACATAAAAATGGGATTCTATGGTGTACACTTGTTTTACCTTGCTCACCACCAGGTTCAGGAGACATGCACCCTGTAGTGGAGAGGAGTCCATCTGTGTACCCTAATGGGTTTAGCCATTCAACATGGGCATTTGGGGTGCCTTCTGTTTTGAGGTTACCACTGATGGACATGCTAGGGTGCTTCTTGTGGTGACTATATGCACACATTTTCCATCCAGGAACAGACTTGTTAGGTCACACAGTATTTGGCTTCAAATATGGCGGGGGAAGGACAGGTCCCTGGGGCCAGGAATGGAGCAGGAACATTCTTCCCAGGTCCCTGCCATCCCTGGACGATGTTAGCAGTGGACATACCGTTCCTGAGGCCTGCCTGCCTTACAAACCTCTCCTGCTGGGCTATGACCACCCTGGACCATGGTAGACTCTGTAAAATGGTTCTCAGAACTCGTCACCTCTGTGTCACCTGCTCCAGGCTCCCAGCAGGCAGGGAGGTTCAGGAAGTCTGCCAGGCCCTGACCACTGCCTGACAGGTATGGGGCTGCAAAGGGGGTGCCTGGGGAACAGGGAGCCACCCCCTTCTGCATCTTCTACAGGGGACGGCGTTCCACTGAATTCATATGTAACGAGCGATGGCCCCCATAGGAAGGGAGGGCAGATGTCAACACCTGTCCCACATAGCTGTAGTCCAGGACACCAGCGGGCTTTATCACCAGCTCCCCTGATTGATGGAATGTGGATCTCACAGCCCATAGGCATGATCTTGCCTGGAAGTAAGGGGACTGAGTTTACGTACAGTTAGAAGGGAAGACCCTTCCAAGGTTAGGAAGAAAGGGGTACAGAGAGAAGGCAGGAAAGCATCTCATGTGACTGTGGGAAGAGAGGTAGAAATGTCAAAGAAAGAAGGGAGGCAGAACTTGGAGGGATGGAAAAGCAAAGGTAGCAAAGTGTGTGGAGGGGAAAAGCACCTCTTTCTTTTGACACTGTAGCTTGGCATTTAGTATGAGTTTGTTTTAAATGAGAATCACAGCTTTCCTCCATTCCTCCCAGGCAGAAAGGTGGGAGAGGTGATTACCACTGTCCCCAGTTTTCAGGTTTGAACAGCTCTGCACACAGTGGCTTGCCCTACATCACCCAGCAAGCCTTGGCCAGAGCCAGGCAGAGGCAGCCTCCAAACACACAGAAGAAAGCCAAGTCCACAAAGAGCTCTCTGCCCCCATGTGTTCTCCTCCTCTCTCATCAGGGATGGCTTGAGTGGCTTGGATGGGGCCTACAGATTTTTGACTCAGACTCCCAGGGCTAACGCATGCCGCCTAGTCTCTGGGAGATCCACAAATCTTCCGTAAACTGCCAGAACACGGGTTCACCAGCTGTCCTCTGGTGAAGGTGGAAAAGAAGTATGCTGCTAGGTGGCCATGGGTCAGTGTGACAAACACATTTGTGTCCTGACAGGCAATTAAGATTGTTTGTGGGTCTATCCACCTGAAAGCAGGTAAGCCTGGAAGGTGTCACAGCTTAGGGGTTCAGAGAAGGCTGTGGGGTTGGACCACCTGCACTTTCAGTATGTCTTTCTGCTTCTTGTCTGTAACTGTAGGCAAACTGTAGAATCTTTTGGTGCGTCAACTTCCCTCTCTAGAAAACAGACCTACACCTGTGGTATTTAAATAAGTTTGCACATCAATGCTCAGATCTGTGGGTGACACAGCCACTGATTAACTCCTGTGTGCAGGGACCACAGTGCTTTGACCCTGCTCTGAATGGGCCTGTGTGAGTGGGTCCACATTAGAAATAACCTGTGGGAGCCAGAGTAGGAGACAGCAGGAGGAGGTGGCATTTGGAGTGGGGCCATGGCCCTGCCGTCAACTGATGTCTGTGGTGGTGACCATCTATAGGTGACATTACTCTAGTGTCTACCTACAAGCACAGGAGGGATGGTCAGTGAGAAGCAGCAGAGACCTGGCCATCCCCCAGGGTCTGGGCTGCACTGCCCTGAAGACCATTCTGAGACAACAGTTCCAATCCTGTGGGTCGTTTCCTTACTAACAGGACGGCGGAGATGTAGGAAGAGAGAACAACCACTGCTTCCTTTTCCAGGAAGATGGAAACCTTGCCTGTGCATTGCAGGCAGTCACAATGCTCTCCTTTGATACTGAATGAAGGCAGATGGGGGATACTTGAGCACAGCTTTTCATTTCAGTAATGTATCCACTGGAATTTATTAACCTGCTGTATTTAAGCTTGGGAATTGATGTTTAAAAGTGGCAAACCCTTAAATCAATAGTTATTTTTACATGGCACATTTGTTATTTGGCTATAAAAATGTCAATTTTCTTTGCGATTAGTGAAAATAGCATAACAATGAAAAGAAAAAAAAACAGAAATTGAATATCACAAAGAAAACATGAAAAACCAAGAGGCACCCCAGCCCTGGTGGGTGGGATGGCAATGGTGTAGGTGGCGTTCCCTATGGCTAGGAGCATGCAGGTCTCTGGGAGGCATTTTTACATCAGGAAAGGAGACATTTCATCACCAGGGGCCTTAGAGGATGGTACAAAAGAACTTCTTCTCCCGGAAGGGGTTTTCCGAGGCAGGCACTGGGATGATGAGCGGGTCCTCCCGCACATGGGCTTCACAGTAAGCCAGGAGGTCCGCAGCTGCCTGGGAGACCTGTGGAGACACAGCACAGGCACTTGGTTAAAGGCAGCTCACAGAGTGGGTCCCGGGGGAGACCCACGAGGGGAGGGGACACACTGAGGACAGGCTGTAAGGTTTGCAGGACCAACAGCAAGACCAGGGGACTGCAGGGGTTGGTGCAAACCTGGGAGCCAGAACTGGAAGATGCTGGCAAGGAGAGGTCACACTGAGGTGCTAGGCCAGTATCAAGAGAGGGCTGCGGAGCGGGCAGGAAGGCCCAGCTGTCCTTACTGCACTCCCAGCCAGAGGGAGAAGAGGGACCAGGTACAGCCTCATGAGGACTCTGCTGAGCCATTTGTGGAAGAGAAATGCAGCGCAATGCCCCGCCCAAGCCAGGGCGATCCTATTTATTATTGGTCGTCTTATTGCAGCCCACTCTTATAATCAACCAGGAGACATTCCGTGCCCCTCAACAGGAACCATATTTAGCTATGTCTTATAATCGTACAACTTTTAACTGGGGGTGTCATTCCCTGAGCAGCAGGGTGCTTCTGACCAGAGCCCCTTTCCCCTCTGTTTTCCTTCTGGACTTCCTGACTGACACATGGCAATTGTGCATGAAACTGGCCCAGCTCAAGTCCAGGGGAAGAGCTCAGTGGGAGAGGGCAGCGAGCTGAGAAGCGCTTGCTGAGAGGGAGATGGCATTACCAGCTCATCTGGCTCTCTGTGTCCCTGGCTTGCAGATGAATGGCTGGTGAAATAACCCACCAGTTGGGTTGTTCCTCAGCAAGTGCTTATTAGAGGCTTAGAGGCAGGGAGTGCACAGCAGCCCAAAGCCACCCCTTGGTTCCAAGTCTACCTTGTCTCCAGTTGAACGCACTCCACACGTGGACGGAAACTATTTCAAAGTCTCCAGCCATGCCACGTTCACCCTTTCAACTGGCTCATCTTTCAGCATTTTACGTAGAGTCCTCTGAGGTTTACAGAGGATTCAGAATCCCTGGGTCTCCAGCCCAGACTCACACGTTAGCAGTGGCTGTAATCCCACAGATAACTTGAGCAGAGAACCAGGAAAATGTTTTCCACAAATAAATCAACTAGAAGTGGAGCAGATGAGTCAACCCAAATCCCAACAAGTATAGGCTTTGTTGGAATGGGGAAAGGGACATCAATGAATATCAGGTTTCCTTAAGCTAGCTGTGTGACCTTGGGCAAGGAACTCAACCTCTCATGCTTTATTTTTCTCACTAGCAGAATTCAGGACTGCTAGCTGTTGTCTAAGCTTGCTTTTGCTTGGCTAGTCTATGGTTCTACTTTTCATGGCACCATGGTCAATGTTGTAGGTTCTAGACAAATCCACGTGGAGTTCAGTAGGGGCATTTGAAGTGTGCAATGGTGTAAATATACCAGAATAGGAATTTCCCAAGTGGGCAGAGGCCCAAGGGGGACAAAGCCTGCAGGGGACCTGTGAAGCCATACAAGGGATGGGAGCACAGAAGCACAGACGCTGACCTGAGCCCACAGAGCTGTGGTGGACACACAAGGAGCGGGAATGGTGCAGCGAGAGCTGCAGCACACAGCCGTGGGTGTGGGAGGCTGAGGCCTGCAGCTGTGCCATCTTCTCAGCAGGAGCCAGGCGCTTCACCACCGCCCCAGTCAGATCGTGTCTCCCTCCTCCCTGTTCCAGGCTTTGCACCAGCCCCAGACATGCAGAAGCTGCCTCGGTCTCCCCAACAATTCCGATGAGTCTATCCAGAGATCCCTCTGGCAACCAGCCAATGCAAGGGTGGCCATGTTGGAGCCACCCTTTCCTTCTGGGTCATCATCCCTAACCTCACGAGCTTCCTTCAGGACCTCATTTAGAAATGACACCCCATCTCCAAAACAAAATAAAACCAGAAGACTGAGGGTGGGGCTCAAGCAGTAGAGCACTTCCCTAGCAAGTGCAAGGCCCTGGGTTCGTTCCCCAGCAACCGTCATGCCCTTCCCAGTGGTCTAGTTTTCATTTTCCCATCCTGCCCCAGTGGGTTCTGAATCCTCAGTAAACCTCATGATCTCACCGAGAAGCAATACAGAGCATCCCTACCTTGTAGACCTAACTCAGAGGATGCGGGGAAAGAGGAAGGCAGGATTTTGCCTGCGAGAGCTGACTGAGAAGACTCAGGATAATGAAGTTACCAAAATGATCAGCGTGTGCCACACTCATCCCAGGTGAATTGGATTAATTCTCTGAAAGCAAACTCAAGGCCAAGTACGTCATAGTCAAGGCACTGGAGGAGGGGGCTCAGAAGATGCGAGGGTCCTTCTTGGGGGAAGAGCCCAGAGGAGGTGAGATCCGGTAGATCACAGCCAGCATCTGCAACACCCCAACAATTATGGCCTTGCCAGTTCTACGCAGGTTCCATCTAGGAATTTTTCTGTCACCTCCCCAGGGAAGACTCTACCCGAGGTCACAATTTTCCTTTCCAGAAGACAAGTTGTTCTTAGACTGCCTCCTTATGTTGCTGTTTTCAGACCACAGTGGTATTGGCTGAGTTCCTTCTGTGTACTTGAACTGCAGGAGTTGTTTGCAAAGAAGCCAGTTTCAGAGGCAAGCACAAGAGCAGTGTGTAGACCTGGGTTGGTCCCATGCTGTACTGATTTTCCTGATGCTCTCAGGTGATACTGCCATTTGTCCCTCCAGGACTCCTGCTGAATTTAGCAAAATTAATACATGGATGTTTTTGGGGTGATTGGGTCACATGGCCCAAGGACAGGGCAAGGCCTCATAGCAGGGTGGGGCCAGTTATCTTGGTATCGGGTTCCTGAAGAAGGGATGGGTTTGACCTGATTTTCTTTCTCTCGCCTGTGATCTCCTGCCCGTCCACTGGGTTATGATGCAGCTCAGAGGTCCTGACATGCTAGCACTTTGCTCCTGGACTTCCCAGCCTCCAGAGCCAAGAGAAATAAATTGCTTTTCTGATAAATTCCCAACTGTGGGATTCTATCACAGCTGCAGAAGACAGACCGAGACAATTGCACTATAAAGACGGGTACGAATGCCTGCACAGCTGCCTCTGCCGAGTGTGATCATCTTATAACAAAATAACTGAGGGAGTTTCCACCTTGGCCAGGCCGCCAGCTCACAGTGTCCGCAGTCCCTTTACCGCTGATAACCCATGGATCCAGGATGACCCCGGCATTAAAGTAATGTGGTGTCGGAGAAGACAAATGGGGGCAACAACGACTTCCTGCTCCTTACATGTGGAAGGTGACACAATGACCCACATGTAATTTCCAGGCATTAACTTACCTACATCTGCTCCTGAGCTAGCGCAGTGGGGGTTTCTTAACCAGCCCCAGATTGATTTTTGTAGCTGGATCTTTCCTTCCTATAAAAGTTGGGTTGCAGACATCAGCAGATTCCATAAAACATCTGTCACCTTTGAAAACTTTTAAAATCAAAATTTCACTGTGGTAGGCAATTGACAGCTGCTTTCCTGTTGAAGTTGAAGCTGCTCTGAGCACCCCTCCCGCCTGCCTCCTTATCCAGATGCAAGACAGCAGATGTTGGAAAGGATCCGGAAGCTGGGGGACAACTGTGGAATTTTACCATTGCATTTCAGGATAAAAGAGGTGATTACAGCAGCCCAAGTTAGCTTGTAATCCTGTTAGCTGTGCTGTAATTACAAGCTTCAGGCATGGGAGAAAAGCTTGCAATTACTATAGTCACATCCCATGACAAGATAGATGCTATAATTACTGCTCTTGCTGTGACACTCATGGCATTTATCTTGTGTATTAAAGTAGAAAGCCCTGCACCTACTTCTCGCCAGTCCTGGTCTACTGAACAATACCACTAGAATCAAAAGGATTTCAGTTTTGCCCGTTTCTCCCCCGACCCCCAGAAAACAAAGCAGGATGGCTAGACAACACCAGGTGTCACAGTGTCTTCTACAGAGGCTGGGCTCGGCGTGCACTCCAACAGACGACGCCATGTTCAATTAGCCCAGTGGGAGGCCACAAGGATATGTCTTGCTTCTAAATTCCAAGAAAACGCTGCAGGGTGAGTTCTTGTTGAGTTTTTCTTCCGACACTGGAAAGTACTTGAGTACGACACACCAGTTCCTAGGGGCAATCTCCAGCCTCTTCCATATCATAGCTTTCGGTGGCTCCGAGATCAATAAAGGAAGCCCTCAGCCTTGGGGACATGGCTTGGATGGGGAGGCTTTCACCTAACTGAGGGACATAGGCTAGAGTGGCTGAGAGCAATACCATAGGAAGTCTCCCAACTGTAAGGTCAAATGTCCCTAGTAGTGGCTTGGCCTCCATTGTCACTGCAGACTTTTTTCCTCCATATCAGAAGTTCACTGATTGCACATTGGGACATAAATCTAAGATAACCTGAAAGTGAGTTGGCTGAAGTGACAGCTGTTAGACCCACGTCCATCCTGGACCCGGACCAAGGCCCTTCCAACATGCAGTAAAAGTGCCATCTCACTGATCACCTCTCGTTTTGACAGTCCTCAGTCTTCTACAAAGAAATCCATATCTCAGAGCCAGGTGTGGTGGCACACACCGGTCAATCCCAGCACACAGGGAAGGGAAATGAAAGAAGGGAAATGAAAGTCCTAACTCAGGCATTTTGCATGTTTACCAAAACAGTATTTTACGTGGTGATGGAAACTAGCAAGGACAGTGATCAACATAGTGGGGACCCCACCTTGGGTCTGACTCCACATGGTTCTAGAAAGGCGTGAGCAACATTTCTCTTCGAGAGAAGCTGCAGGTTGTAAGTCTAGCAGCACAGCCCCAACTAAGCTGCCCCAGGTGTTCACAGCCCTGTTGTCCTGGGCAGGACGCACATCGGGCACTGAGCTTTCAGTTCTGCAAATGGCAGCGTCTGTGGCATGGGACACCGTGGATGCCATCACGCCTGCAGCGGCTAAGCATTCCTATTCACCAGGCTGCTTTCAGTGGGACAGAGGATGTCCTGCCCTGATCTTTGGTTTAATTCAAAGGCGGTCCTCCTTTTATCTGGTCCCAGAATTCCT